CTTGTGATCTCTGTCTGTCAAATAAATAAATAAAATCTTAAAAAAAAAAAAAAAAGACTTCCAGCACTATGTTGAATAGGAGTGGTGAGAATGGGCACCCTTGTCTTGTTTTGATCTTAGAGGAAAAGCCTTTACCCTTTCACCATCAAGTATATTGTCAGCAGTAGTCTTGTCATACACGGCTTTTATTATGTTGAGATATGTTCCTTCTTTGCCTAATTTGTTAACATTTTTTATCATGAATAGATGTAGAATTTTGTCAGATGTTTTCTCTGCATCTATTGGGATCATATGATTTTTTTTTCCATTATTCTGTTAATGTAACATATCACATTGATTGATTTGCATATATTGAACCATCCTTGCATCCCTGTGATAAATCTCACCTAATCATGGTGAATGATCCTTTTAATGTGCTGCTGAATTTGGTTTAGCTGTTTTTTATAGAGAATTTTTACATTTATGCTCATCAGGGATATTGACCTATAGTTTTCTTTTCCAATAGTGTCCTTTTCTGGTTTTGGTATGATGATAATGCTGGCCTTGTAAAATGAATTTGGGAATGTTCCTTCCTCCTTCCTCCAGTTTGGGAATGCTCCTTCCTCCTTTTCTTGGAAGCATTTGAGAAAGTTGATGTTAATTCTTCTTTAATGTTTGGTAAAATTCACTAGTGAACCCATCTGGTCCTGGGCTTGTCATGTTGGGAGACTTTTGATTATTATCAATTTGCTAAGACTTTGTTTTGTGGGCTAACATATGGTCTAACCAAGAAAATGTCTGATGTATGCTTAAGAAGAATGTGTATTCTGCTGTTTTTAGTTAGAATGCTCTGTATATGCCTGCAGGTCTATTTGGTTTACAGTGTTGTTCAAATCTGCTGTTTCTTATTGATTCTCCACCTGAATGGTCTGTTCATTGTTGACAGTGGAGTATCCGAGTCCTCAATGACTACTGTGCTACTCTTTATTTCTCCTTTTGGCTCTCAGTTTCTGCTTTACATATTCAGGTACTCCCACGATGGATGCACGGGTATTTACAACTGCTGTATCTTCCTGATGTACTGACCCCATTATCATTATGTAATGACCTCCTTTGTCTTTTATTTTTTTCACGATTTCTACTTTAAAGTCTATTCTGTCTAAAAAAAAAAATAAATAAACAATAAATAAGTATATAAATAAAGTCTATTTTGTCTGATGCAAGTATAACTTTCCCTTTGTTTTGTTACCACCTGCTTGAAATGCCTTTTTCTATCCCTTCACTCTCAGACTCTGTGCATCTCTTCAAAGCTAACATGAGCCTCTTGTAGGCAGCATATCAGTAGGTCCTGTTTTGCGATCCTCTCAGCCACTCTGTGTCCTTTAATTTGAGGATTTAATCCATTTACATTTAAAGTAATTATTGACAGGTAAGACCTTACTAATGTCATTTTGTGAATTGTTTTCTGAATCCAATGTTCCTTGTTTCTTATTCTGTTGTCTTTTTTGTGCTTTGATGCCTTTTGGTATCAGTATGTTTTAATTTCTTTATCATGCTCTTTTGTGTAATTATTATATGATTTCCTCTTACGGTTACCACGAGGCTTAGACAGATTATCTTAAAGTTATAACATCCTATTTTAAATGGATAATAACTTCAATAGAATTCATAAATGTTACATTTTTACTTCTCCTCACCCTCACATTTTAGGTTATTGCTGTTATAATTTATATGTTTTTTGCATTATGTAATAACAGATTACTATATGGTTATTTTTACTATCTTCTCTTTTTTTAAACTTTTAAATGAGAGTCGTAAGTAAAGTGCACCACTATTACCATATTGCAGAATCTAACTATGATTGCATATTTGCCATTACCGATGAGATTTATGCTACTTTCTATGTTTTTATGGTGTTAATTATTATTCTTTTACTTCCACTTGAAGAAATCCATTTAGTGTTTCTTGTAAAAAAATCTGGTGGTAATGAACTCTCTCAGCTTTTTATGATGGTAATAATGAACTCCCTCTGAATATTATGATCACCTTGACTCCAATACCTCCCCCGTCTGCACATAACTGTATTTAAAATTTAGCTCTTGAGTTAGAAGAAAAAACATTTAGAGTTTAAGACAGCATGTCTAGTGAAATACAATTCATAACATACAATAAATTTCACATTATTCATGTTCAGTAAAAATTACTGGTGCTTGAAAATAATTACTGGTGCTTGGTACCAAGACACAATGACTACTTAGAAAGTCATGGTGTACTCTTCCACACTTCTGTGCTTGGGCGTGCAGTGGTAATGGCTATGCAGAGGAAGCGAATTTTACTGAACACAACTCTGGTCTAGAAGTCAGAAGATCCAGATTGTTGTTCTACCTTGAGTACAAACTAGTTATATAACCTAAAAACAATATTATAATTAGTTTTTACATCTGTACAAATGAGGAACACAGAGAGGTTTTGGAATGACTATTTTTATGTTCCTATACAGCTCTGGAAGTTTTTATGACCATATGGTACTACACCACCAAGAGTGTTCCCTTAATATGCAGACTAAATGACTTGGTACTATTGTTTTAATGCATTCTAATACTTTCCTAAGTGACAGTCTTATTCTAAATGACATGATGTGTTTTAAGTAACTAGGCTGAACTAGAACAGCTCATCTCCCAGTGAAGTCAAATAATTGTTAACTATCTATGCTAAAACCCTCTAGTCACATTTTTATCAAAATCTGCCCCCCAAAGGTTATTAAAGTCATGACCTCTCTATAGAGCCCCAAGGAGCTCAGAGTCTGAAAGAAGAGACAGACACAAATACAAATAATAATGAAGTTAAACATGAAAATAAATGCTTGCAATATTTTACACTTCACAATGTGAAGCCACCCTATGAATCATTTCCCTCATGTATCTCATTCAGCCTAGACCAAAGGAGAATTCTGCTTCCACTAATTAGGTCCAAGTTTTGATTCACAAGCATCTATGAGTCCAACAAGTGAAATGTACCCTATTTTACGCGTGGAAAACATCTGAGATATTAGGACTGCAGTTTAACTCAACAAGGGTTTAGAGACTTCAAGTCAAGAAACCCCTAGGTGTTTGATTTGATTAATGGCAACCTGAAAAAAACTGGTAACTTGAAGGTAACTCTCAAACACAAAGGCTAATTCTAGGGCCGCTAAATAAACATTGAATTTGTTCGACTTTCAGAGATTTTTTCCACATTTCAGGTACAGCACAAACCAGTGAGAACCTACAGATTATAGTAAAGATTAAATACACATTAAGTAAAATGTGTCTGTTGCTTTGCTTTGTGAACTACCAAAAGTGGACAAGGACATCAAAGTATTCTAACCTCCCATGGGAGCTTTAATCAGCTTCTAGGGTTTGAATAACTAACATGCTAAGAATCACAGTTCCTCAGAAGCTGAGAGGACCTCAGACATAAAATCATCAGAGAACAATACTTTGGGGAGGATGACCTTCAACTTGTTGTCTGTTTTGGAGTTTTCCACTGCTTCTACAGTCAATTTTAAGTACATTATTCTAGAAAAGGTCCACGTCATCTAAATCTTCAAATGTGTTAGGTAACTGAACTACAGCTCCTACATCTAGTATGTCCCAGTACACTTTCCCTGAACTATAATCAAAAATTGTGAGATTATGCTGAGTGAAATAAGTCAAGCAGAGAGAGTCAATTATCATATGGTTTCACTTATTTGTGGAACATAACAAATAGCACGGAGGACATGGGGAGTTAGGAGAAGGGAGTTGGGGGAAACTAGAAAGGGAGGTGAACAATGAGAGACTATGGACTCTGAAAAACAATCTGAAGGGTTTGAAGAGGTGGGGGTGGGTGGGAGGTTGGGGGAACCAGGTGGTGGGTATTAGAGAGGGCAAGGATTGCATGGAGCACTGGGTGTGGTGCAAAAACAATGAATACTGTTATGCTGAAAATAAATAAATAAAATGATTTAATAAAAAAAAATTGTGTCCTGTACAATATCTATTTTTGAAAATTTTATTTTTTTTCTATCCTAGGATTTGATCAACTTTTTATTTCACGTATATTTAAAAGAGTATGTATTATAAAGTAAAAGCTATAAAACAACCCTTTTCACATGTGAACTTCAAAGTCTCTCTAGTCTCACTGTTCCATCAAATTGATCAGAGGATCTTTCACTATACTTTAGAATTTGAATATTTCTCTTTTCTTCTAATTTTTCTTAGTTTATATACTTGATGCTATGCTCCTAAATAAAGATTCATGATTGTTGATCATCTTATTAGCAGATTATAATTTATATTCATCTAAAATATGTCCCTTTATACCATTTAACCTTTATATTCAGTTATACTGTGATGTTAATTTTGTTCATAGACTATGAACTATATTGCCTGGGACATAATGAAATACAGGAACTGCACAAAAAGAAAAGTTTTAGCACAGAATTCAATGAAATTTCTTTAATTTTGTTTAGCACTTACAAAAATCATTTTTCAGAAGATTCTCATAAGCAGTGTTTTCTTTTGAGAAACATGTATTTTCTTTTTCAGTTAACAAAATTGTACTTTACCTTGATTATAATAACTGAGACTAAAAAAGCCTTAAAAGCTGGAAGTTTTTTCTTTTCAGTTCAAAGATTAAAGCAGCCATACAACAATAATCGGTTCCGTACTGCGTAGGGATCTTAATATAAAAATAACAGAAGGCACCGTGTACTTCACATAAAGAGCACTTGTCCATGCTGATAGCTCTACTGAAGCAGAATTTTTCATTGAGAACTTACATGCTAATACCTTCAGTTGTATACATCATTTCTTCCTTAACCAAGAACATGATTTGAGCAACAGTTCAGACAGAACTAAGATATTCATATTGATCGTGGAACATATTAGGCCACAAAGCAAAAACGCCGAACAAAAACTTCATTAACACCGTGCTTAAAACTATGTAGACCGTAATATTTATATGATCCTTGCATGGTACGAAGAGGGAGAGAATCTTACCTACGTCAGTTATGAGAATCGGCTCTTGCAAAGGAATGTCGGGGACTGGAACGCTGGCCTTGCCGACTCGAACCTTTGCAGGTTTACGCTGGTGTCTCATCTTTCTTAACTCCGTGTGTTTGAAGTGAGAAGCGATGTGAGTCTTCCTATGGCCTGAGGTTCGAAACTTTTTGTCACAGTGAGGACAAGCAAAAGGTCTGACCCCTAATAAAAATAAAAGTACACCACAGAATTATTTAAAGAAAACACATCTAAACAATTAATGCCAACATAAAAATCTAGTATTTTGATACTGATTTGGATATTCATCATGTCACGCTTGTAATTTCAGGGACGTTATCCATGAGAGTTACCTTCCCTTGTTTGCATACTTAGATGTCATAAGAGCATTTTAAAGAAGAATTTGTTAACGTTGCATCATAAAATATTTAAACCTTAAATAGATAAAAGATACTCAAATATTTGGTCCCTAAGAATACTGGAGTGTGTGCGACGGCGCTCTCTCAAGCCGTCGTCTGTAAACTGGAACGACAGTGTCTGCACCACACAGGCCGCCGGGGTCCAACACACCCGGGTCTGGACAGCACCAGCAGCTCTGAGTGCTTGACAGGTTGTTGCTCATCGGGAATAAAGCCGCCGCCACTGACAACGACAGAAACGGGCTCCTCTGAACAAGGCTCCATTATCAGTGCTCTCTCCTTCCCTTACAGTTTCACTAGTAAATGAAACTGGAGATTCCTAAGAAGGGCACAGGACAAGACTCAAACAACACAAAACATTCAAATCTCCACCCCAAGGTCAGCTTGGCCCAGGAACCCCGGGCCATAGGGGAAGTGACCACTAGTGGGACTGGGGCTCCTTGCAGGAGGGAAGGGGGGTAAAAAGGTTGAAAACAGACGGCTGGGTGCTGGGTGGGGTCGTGCAATTTCTGAATAAAGTGAATTCTGAATTCACTTGAAGAGTAAAGTTTGTGATTTGTGAATTACACCTCAATAAAACTATTACAAAATTACTGCCTAAATATGAACGTTTTCAGACCTCAATACCGATGACAAAATATCCGAACGGTAGAGCAGGTATCAGGTTTTCCCTCAGGCCCAAGGCCTCCGCAGCAGCCTCCCGAGGTGTCCCTTCCACAGAAAGGCCCAGCTCCTGCACGTGCACGCGAGGTGGCCCACAAGGTCCCCACGCAGCCGTCTCCTGGCCACTCGCTTCTCCCCGCGTGGTGCTGCTCCCTGCTCCCCCGTGGAGGCGCCGGCTCCCCATGCGGGACGCGCCGCGAGCCCGGCCTCCGGAAGGGAAAGGCAAACCTGCACGCGGGACCAGGAGCCCTCGTGGCCGCAGCCAGGGTCCGCAGACCCCGGGAGCCCACGCCCCCGAGCGCCCCGTACCTGTGTGCAGACGAATGTGCACTTTGAGGCTCCCCGACGTGGAGAAGCTCTTCATGCAGTACTGGCACTTGAATGCCTTGACGCCCGTGTGCGTTTTGATGTGAGCGGTGAGGGTGCTCTTCACGGCGAAGGCCCGGAAGCACTGGGGACATTTGAAGGGCTTCTCGTGAGTGTGAATGCGGATGTGGCGCACCAGGTCGCTCGGCTTCCGGAACTCCTTGGTGCAGTAGGGACACACGTGCCACCGCACGCCGTTCTCCTCGCGGATGGAACCTGCAGCCAAGGGAGAATCACACACAGCCCAGCGCTGGTACCAGAAACGAAGGCACCCGCATGTCCCCACGGGGTTAGGGTCGGACAACACACCGTCCCTACGAGGGGCGACACGCTTCTTGCCACCGCAGAAGATGGATGATCCGTTATGACAAAGCTTGAAACTTCCACGATCACTGAAATTACTGAAGACTGTGATTTAATCTTCAGAAAATCTGACCTGCTCCATGAGGACACTAATCACAGCCTGTGGAAGGTCAGAGCGCTAACCACACGGGAACAGAAACCAGCCGCGGCACAAACGCAGCCCGTCGGGAACGGGAGGAAAAGCAGATGCGAGCAGAGGACTCCACGACCAGCTCCAAGAACACGGAGCGAAGAAGAAGCCAGAATAAGCACCGTCGAAACCGATCCGGTGTCGTGAGCAAAATTCAACACACGTGCAAGGAATTAGGAGACGGTGGGGGCGGGTGGCGCCTGGGTGGCTCAGTGGGTTAAGCCGCTGCCTTCAGCTCAGGTCATGATCGCAGGGTCCTGGGATCGAGCCCCACGTCGGGCTCTCTGCTCAGCGGGGAGCCTGCTTCTCCCCAACCCTCTCTCTCTCTCTCTCTGCCTGCCTGTGATCTCTGTCCGTCAAATAAGTAGAGAAAGAAAGAAATAGGAGATGGGGAATTTTCATGCTGCAAAAAGGTACTTGTAACTAGGTATGACAAAGAAACAGTATGTACAACACATATGAGTCAACGATCAAATATAAAAGACTCTTGTAACTTGAAGTATTATTTTTTTTAAAGATTTTACTTATTATTTATTTGACAGACAGAGATCACAAGTAGGCAGAGAGGCAGGCAAAGAGAGAGAGGGGGAAGCAGGCTCCCCGCCTAGCAGAGAGCCTGATGTGGGGCTCGATCCCCAGACCCGGGGATCATGACCTGAGCCAAAGGCAGAGGCTTTAACCCACTGAGCCACCCAGGCGCCCCTAACTTTAAGTATTATTATTCAACTTTCAATCAGGTTTAAAACTATTCCTAGCAAAAAAAAAAAAAAAAAAAAAAAATACAAATAAAAGGTAAAACTACCCCTAGCAGAAGAAAAATCACAAGCAGAACTTAGGGAAACATAATAAATTATTTCTAAATTATAAAAATTTTTAAAACAAAATTCAGCAGGATCACTTTTTATCTTTTATAATTTTTTATTAGATTTACTCATCTCATCTGAAGTTAAACAGACATCTAAAATGAGGTAAAGAAGTCACCTGAAATTACACAGATTGTGGCCAAGGTAATGAAATTCATCAGAAAATATTAACTGTCTTTTTAACTATGTCTGTACAGACAGAGCTTTATTAGGGGGGAAATCTTTTGTTTGCTTCTCTTTGTTATTAGTAAATGCAAGGAATTCTCCTTATGTTAAGTGAATCTATAAGGAAAGAAAATGTATTTTCCTGAATATAATGCTCTTTTCAAGCCTAACATAGGTTAGGTAAAAGAATAAAAAAGACCATAAAAATAGTGACACAATGGAAATCAGGACAAATCACAGGGAAAAGGGTAAGAAATAAGGAAAGTGGCTTTAAGAAGGAGAGAAAGACAGTATTTTATGGTGATATTGTTTATATTACAGAAGTCTGAAATTTAATAAATTTTCTCTATTGGTATTAAATCGTAAGTCATAAAAGTACAATAATTACCTCATGGTCTTATGACAAATCAGAAAAACAAGGTATAAAAAGGTGGGAGAACTATAGTATCAGCCAAACTTGGGAAATCCCCACCCCATCAGGTTTTTTCTGGACAAAAATGAAAACTTTGTCTTTAATTACCTACAATGACATAACATAAAAATGTCACTGAGTTCTAATTATTTCTGAGAATGGACTGGAACAGAAATTACAGACTAGCAGCCCTACAGATGTCTCCAAATGTGGCCTGCATATGCTTTGTTTGGCCCACACACTATTAGGAAAAAAAAAATTAAATCCTAGTCAACCCTCTTTGACAAAGTGAAAGATCTGGAAAACCAGATCTGCATTCCCACAAGGCAACTCTCTCTGGTGTTGGGCAACTGCCTTACTCTTCCAACATATTAGTGAATTTAAAAGGAAAAACATATATTAAAATCATCTTCAAGATGAAAAGGCAATTGCCTTTAAATAAATAAAGATTTTATTTATTTATTTAAGAGAGATCACAAGTAGGCAGAGAGGCAGGCAGAGAAAGAGGGGGAAGCAGGCTCCCCGCTGAGCGGAGAGCCCGATGTGGGGCTCGATCCCAGGACCCTGAGATCATGACCTAAGCCAAAGGCAGAGGCTTAACCCACTGAGCCACCCGGGCGCCCCTAAAATTTAACATCTAGACTCAACTTTTAAAAAACTGTCTAAAAACAGGAGGAGCTAAATAAACGTATCTCAGTACGACATCTGACTTATGAAAACAGGAAAGTGAATGCTATTATAGCCAAGAAAAAGTCCACTTTCCCTGCCATGAATTTATTGTGTTCTAGTGATACACGCCAATGAAATTAGGTAAGATATGGAAATATGCAGTATAAACTATAAGAAAAAGGTAAAATCATTATTTACAAATGATACAATTATATGCCTTAAAAAACCTGAAACTAAGAAATAGGCCCACATTTTAATACTCGGAAATCAACATCTTTCCTAGCCAACAAAATCCAAAAGAAAATTTTAAATTACTACTAAAATATGAAAAAAATACAAAGAAAAGATCCGAATAAATGGAAATACACACTCCATTCTTTGGTACAAAGATGAAAAGTTATGGACATCAATTTTCACTGGTTAAATCACATATACAAATACCAATAGGAATTTTTTAAAAACTAGAGTTCTGGAACTTTGGAAGACAATTCTAAAGTACACATGAAAAAGTAAGCATTTGAAAATCATCAAAACTATACTTTGAAAACAGCGTAACTGGGGACAACGAGGCATGCTAGCTACGAGGGCACACTACAGAGGTACCAGAGCGCGTGCATACAGACAGATCCATGCCCAGAACACAGCGCAGACAAGACGCGCACAGGGCTGCGGGTGTAAACAACGGCATGGTGTCATGGTGTGTGGACAGCAGGTGTCTGCCTGGGAACAAAAAATAAAACGGAGTCAAAGATTTAGTTTAAAATACGAAGGTAGGAAAGTGCTGGATAAAAGAGGTTATTTCCCATGACGTCAGCATCAAACTCTATTATACAAGTCCAAAATCCATGACAAATTTGGCTATGGAAAAACAAAACATTTCTCCCTTTTAACTCAAAAAGACAAATAAGAAGAGAATGTATGCTCTCAAAATCCTGTCGTCTCTAATACGTTACAGCAAATCAAAGTCTGGAGTCGGCCGGCTAACAGAAAACGCAGGGGACTGTTAACGTGAAAAGCTGCTCAACCTTTGACTCCTCACAGGAGAAATGAAATTAAAACCACAGTAAGAAACCATTCTGAACCTACAAATGCAGAGAAAGGACCTCCAGATTTGGATAACAACCTGTTCAAAAGGCTACGAGCAAACAGGTACCCTCTCCCTGCCCTACTGTCGTCCGGAGAACAGACAGACACAGTTGCACGGAAGGAAAAGCAGCAATATCGACCACAATTTTTCAAATACGCACAGACTTCTTTGCCTTTGTTATCAGGCACGCGAGTGACACAAACAATGAAGTCCGAGTGAGTCCCGCGGGCTGGATCAGTTTTATCGCCGTCCTGCTGGTGACTGTCCCGTGAGCACAGGTCAGTGCGGCACACTCAAGTTCGTAGAGTCGAAGATTTGTATCAGTTTATTATCACTTGTATTAGCAAAGCCTGCAAACAACCTAAATAATTTCTTATCCATGAAAAGGAACAATCCCTAGACATTTAGTAAAATAAGGTATCACGTGGAAAAAAAAGTAAACTGCCAAAAAGATATCCATACAGAGTATGCCCGCACCCTGTTAAAACGCAATGTAATACACAATATAATTGCCCTTGCCCGTTTAACAAACACAGACAGCCCCATGGCCACCCAGGCCCTGGAGAGGGGCACGCGGAGGACAAGGACGAACAGGGGTCATTCACCGTACAGTTTTAGATCTTTTGAATTATGTGACATGAGCCAGTCTTAGCCATTGAGAACAGTAATTTTAAGGTGTCTGTCTTCCTTCAGGCAGTCGGTTACCACGAGTCAGGAGCTATCCTACACGGCTTCTCCCACTCGGTTCTCTCCCACTTATCCGGTCATTGCTCCATTTCAAAGACGACAAAGCCGACATTCTATTTTGTTAAAGTATTTTTTTTAAGTCCTCTCTATACCCAAAGTGGGGCTCGAACTCATCATCCCAAGGTCAAGAGTCGCAGGTTTTACTTCCTGAGCCCACCAAGTGCCCCCAAAGCTGACATTGTCAAGGTCAGCTGACTTGCCCAAGGTCAGGTGCCAGTCAGTGGAAAAGTCAAGGCACCTATGGAAATCTCCAGTTTTCACAGAAACCCTGTCCTCCAGCCCCACTCCAAGGAGAGCACTCACTGTGCACCCGTGCCACTGCGGGCCTGCTCTTGCCCCTGCAGGGACCGAGGACACAGAGCTCCATCTGTGTGGGGGCAGGACCTGCGCTCGTGGACGGGGCCAAGACCGTGCAGATTTGTCCCAGGGGTAGACACACGCGAGAACGCCTGACTTCAAGGGGCGCCTGCCTGGCTGGGCGGGAAGAGCACGCGCTGCCTCTTCTCAGGGCTGGGTCCGAGCGCCGCTTCAGGTGAAGAGATTACGTAAAAATCAATCAATAAATAAATCTTAGCCCAAAAAGTCTGCACTGGAAAGACAGCAGGACCTAGACGGAAATACTTTTACCAGGCAAAGAAGCAAAAGCCAGGTATGACGCTGCAGGAACTTCAAGTTCACGGTGGCCAGAGTGTGAGACGGCAGGTGGGGACCAGCACGAGTTGGAGCTGGAGACAGACGGGGTAAGACGCCGGAGAAACTTTGTGCCACGAGAGCTGTGCC